CTCTCTCTCTCTCTCTCTCTCTCTCTCTCTCTCTCTCTCTCTCTCTCACTCTCTTTCTCGTCCAGATTGACTCCTTGACCCGGATACTAACCGCTCCGTACAGCTCTCCCTTCCTGCTGATGGCCAGATAGTAGTTGCTGTTCAGCCCTTTGATGGCCACCACTCCCACGTCCACTGATGTGATTTCCAGAATACCTAGGGAGTCAGCAGAAGGACAAGTCACATCAACACGTGTCGACATCCAGACTGAGCTGGCGTGTTATTTTGAACAAGTTTGAGCTGAACTGACTGAGACACAGAGACAAATAGAAAACAGAGGAAGGGCAGAAGGTGAGAAAATGTTTTTTTGCCCCGACTTGTCGATGCTAAGATTATAGAAGAATCATCACCCTGTGACAAATCCATTATGTTTTTTTTACAAACATAGGCGAGGGTAACAAATGTATACAGGCAACATATTGCATGCTCATTATGGGAATTCGGCGCAGGCCACTTAGTTTGAGAATTAATAGGTGGATTCCGCAGAGATTTTCAGGTTGTTTGTGCCCCGTTCGGTATTTAGCCCCTCCAAGTCCCTATGCGAGCGATCCGGGCTCCTCGCACAGGCTATTAGAGGGGCTAATTTATACCCCAGTTAACGAGGGCATTCTTGGGCCGCAGACAGCTGTGGTTGTTTGTGTGGTCTCCCTATCAGAGGTCAGAGAGATATAACTTCCTAATGTGTCCTTTGACCACAGAACCCACTTGTCTCGTCCTGTGTGTGTGTGTGTGTGTGTGTGTGTGTGTGTAGTTAACCTCCCCTGTTCCCATGGCATGTTTGATTTCATGCCCCTCCCTCCCCGACTTCCTCTCCCCCACTTCCGTCGTTATTTCATCCTGATAAGCACACATGTGCACACACACACACGCATTTAGACACGCACACACTTCAGCGTGGGGTGTGAAGTCCAGAAAGTCGATGACATCCTTTGATCAGATCAGCCCCCCCCCCTCTGTCTGATGACTGTTTGTGTGGCGGGG